ATTCACCCGGTATACTTATGAAGGATGGCAAAAAATTCAATGCGATCTAACCCATTGTTTGTTTAAACGAAGTATAACTCGATAAACGGTGAACAATAGTAATGCTTTGCAATGAAGAAAATAAATTACAACATTCCGAAAAAAAGTTATTCTTCATAAAACGTTTTGCAAGATCTGAAACCTAAATTGCAATCATCAGATATCATTTTTAGCGCATTTTTAAAGAATTAAAAAAAAATGTGCTATTGTTTGCGTTTTGTCCGTCCGTCCGGACCCACTTCTGCCGTTTCGAACTACTTCTAGGGGAATGGTCCTAGAGTCCTGGAATTTTTTGCAGTAGGTAGCCTATACCTTGAAGGTGTGCCAGACGGCCATCAAATTTCGCTGTCTAAAAGCCCCCCTCCCACGAATTATTTCCTGAGATGCTGTTTTTGAAAGTGAAACGTGCATATTATTTGTATACAGAGTGGCCCAACGAGAAGTATACAGAGGGCTTTTAGGGTATTAAATTTAAAAATTTCGAAAAATCCTCGAACACGTCAAATTTGTATTCGAGGGGGACAACTTTTGGAATACAAATCACGAACCCAAGTCTTTACCCCTCTACGTAGGGAGCTTAACCCTCAAAATTTTAAATGGAATCCTATGTCAAATGGCACATTATTTGAAAGCCAATTTAATCGTGATTACTAATCTGCTTTGCTTTTTAAATTCTATTGATTCGTTTCGGAGAACTGACATGTTCACTTAAGTTTAACAAACAAATTGAAGCGTCAAAATAAAATTTTAATACAAGGTGACTTAGATCGCATTTGTTTTGATTTAGAAAAAACCATTTCAAATGCGAATTATCTCCGAGTCATTTAGTGCCTTTAGTGGTGCCAAGTTAAACTTTAGAAAGGGAAGGGGGAGGGGAACACATGTTCTACACTTCATGATATTCTAATGAAAGGTCTCATCGAAATAAATTGGTTTGTACAAACTATAACTATCCCGTGCGACTCTTTTTCGAGATCAGTGAGCGACGGGGCCTGAGGGGGGGGGGGATTAATTTTATCTTTCATTGTATTCTAATTAAATGTCTCAACGAAAGGAACCGTTTTCTACCAACCACTGCCCTTCTTTATGTCCTCTTATCAAAGTACGGGTAGAGGGGGAGGGGGGGGAGGAAGTGGAACTAGTTCTATCTCCTTCATGGTACTTTAATGAAAGGTCTCAACGAAAGGAATTAATTTCTACCAACCATAGCCAGGCCTCCTCGGCCTCTTAGTCTGATCGGGTATATTCTCTTATACCTCAAGAACGGATTGTCGGAAGAGGGTACTCACAAAGAGTGATGTCAAAACAAAAGCTAATTCGGTTAAAAAAAAATGCGCAATTTATACTTGTTTCGGTTGTGTATGAGGTATGTCAAATAATATGAATTTTGTCGGTAGAATACCCATACCCATAGAATGGGTTTTGTAGTGTAATAGAATCAATCTTTCTCGAATATGTGACCTACGCTTCGCTGCTCCGCATTTTAAGTAAACTCTATCTACAGAACATTCTCCATCTCCAAAGGACGCTGAGATTGCTAATCAGTCATCTCACTTCATAAATACAAACTTACGGACAATAAGTTTCTGAACATGCTCTTCGTAATGATAATGTTATTTCAGCAAACATAATATTTTTTGACTTTAGTAATAATGCAATATTCATCAAACTTCTCTCTTACAGAGGGAGAGTGTAAGGTTTGGATGATACTTATCTGCCGGAGTACTCAAATGTCGGCTTTTAAACATTCGAGTGTCCCGTTAGCAATTTTCTTTCGATCTAGGGTGTCTATTCCATCGCTCTGGAAGGAATGGGTTGCATTCTAATCACCACTGTTATGAGACATAATAATCATACTAGCAATATGTATTTAAGCGTATACAAGAAACCTTGCTTGCGTACGTCAAATATTACATTATAAATATTCAACGAAATATGAAAACATTTTCCAAATACCTCACAGGACAAATTTTTAACGACAAACAAGTTTTATTTTAGAAGTGATTTATTCCCAACAATTTCAGTAAATTAATCACAAAACTTGGATAACAGTTATTACAATTTATTTGAAAGTAATCGATGGGGTTAATTAACTTCAAACTCTTAAGAACTAAATGTCTAAAATCAACACATTTCGTTCTTTTACATTTGATATCTTTTGCAATTTCTTTAATGGTCAACATGTCAATTAAACTACAGCCTAATGCATTATAACAAGTGTAAGTTGTAAATTGTTCTTAACATAATAATATTACTTAATATAAATTCTTGATTGCAGATGGTCGCAGCGAAATTAATTGCTATCTTAATTAGACATTCATAATTAAAGTAGGTTCAATTCATAACGTTTTTTCGGGTTTAAGAACTTCAGTTCTTTGATAAGTAAAATTTTCCTGGTTAGCTGTCGTTAGCGTCATGCTTTGAAAGAAAAAGTTATACAGGGTGATATGGTTATATGATGAACAAAAATTAAGTTCAGGCATTACAGATCTTTCATAGCTCTTAACCTCTGCAACACCTTTTATGTACATGATGTGCATAAGAGTTATTTAATTACACGCAAACATATTGCAGGCTTGTAAGTATTTAGTTACACAAAGGTAAAATGAAACTGAGAAAACTGTTCAGTTTTGTTATAGTGTACCTGAGTGCCGGACATGAACTTTATTTACCAATTCAGGACCGTTTACATTAAGTTGTAAAGCAATAAAGTACAATGGCTAATAATAAGTTTTATTTAATTACGGATGTTGCGCTCAATTACTTAACATAATAATTGATACTTAATGGTTCGTACCCATAGAATAATAGGAGAAACAGCTGTATCACTTCCAGAAACAAAAATTAAATTTAACAAATTGAGATTTTTTCTTTTCACCGTACTCGGAAATATACAAAAATTGCTTGTACGAGTAATAATCGAAATTAAGGTTGTGTTTAATTCAACACCAGCACTGTAATTACGATAAACTTACTTAATATTGCTGTGTTTATTTCGTCCGGCAGGATGAAATTTTGGAAATCATAATTAAGATGGACAAGGGCGGCCTCCTTCTTATGTAATTAACTTTTATAATTAAATTTCGTTATTTGTCGTTGGTGTATGTAACGGCATTAAAATTATTATTGTCATACGAGAAATCGGTAAAGGTTGTTTTTGTTTACATTTTATTTCCGGGAATTTTGTTTGCTTTTATCTGTTATCAATTGTAAATGCTTAATTTAATTGACAGGTGGATGTGATTTATCGTCTTTTCTGTGTAGGTAAAAGAGATGATTTTTTTATTTTTCCTAGTATTTTAGTCTGATAAGAATTTGCTTAGTAAAATTATTCAGCTCCATTATTTCGGTGTTTTTTCGTACGTAGCAGGGACAGATTTTGTTGTCAACTGTGTAATGTTTGATTGTTATAATTTTGATTTTCGGAACAAGGGGTTCGCCTTAAATAGGATTGGCACAGGAATAGCGTCGCTTTTTGTTTCAGTCAACGCAGAACCACGTTTCTTTGAAAATTTAAATCAGCTTTAAGCCAAGTTCAGGGCCCAAGTGCGGTCAATTTAAAATTCGCTGCACGCAGAGTTTACGAAGAACTGCGTATCATTGAAGATTTAATTCACTTTATACAAATTTGTAAGTAGAACTAAGTTATTGAAATTAAAATTAGCTTTACGCCAAGAGTCAGGGCAGTATTACGTTTTTTTGAAGTTTGAAGATAGAAGAAGTTCCGTTTGCGTAGCCGGAAGGCCAGTTCGCGGCTAATTGTTATTCTACGTTTCACGTTTGTTCGTGCTGGAGGATTGTTGTAAACTTTTGGCCATCTAATTAGGTGCTTCAAAGAAAAGAGGTTGTCGGCGTCCCCCTGAGTGTGTTTTCAACGTGCGTTCAAAGTGTAATTGTTGAATTGAAATTTGTAATTTTGTGTTTTGTGTACGGATACCTTTTATTTGAATTACAATTCTCGGACATGTAATGTAAGTAATTAAGTTTTAATTTTGGTCTTTGTGTAATAATTGTTTGTTTTTGTATCATTTCCTTGTGTGTGTGTTAGAATAAATCGCACTTTTGTAATTTTCACTTAATTTCCGTGTGTTTCATTCTAACGAGTTCATATCTAATTTACCTGTGTTTTTATTGGATGCTTGCCCAAGGTCCATTTTAAAATTTGCAGTTCAGTTTAGAGTTTAAGGTATTTGATTTGACCCATTATCTGTTAGAAGTAAACAGGTTAACTGAGAGAAGAGTCGAATCTCTCCTCTGTGCTGGGGAGAAGTTTTGTACCATGATGAATAACAAAAGTAAAGATCTAGCTAGGGTTTTGTTTAGGTGTTCTGTGTACGGTCTTTCTGGCCTACGGACCAGTGCACACCGCAATATAAATGTCTAATAAAGCTCACAATCGAGTGTTTATCGGATGTTTAACAAATAATTGATCGTTTTTTGCAAAGAACGCATAAGTAGTAATAAACAAATTCAAAAAGTAATCGTAAACGAGTTACAAAAAGCAAATTACTACGTTAACAGTCTTTGTCCGAAAAAGTTAGTTACTCCAGCCAAGTTTGTTTTCAGACATTTAACCCTCGTGTGAGACCGAAGGGGCGGACTTCAGTGCATTTTTGTGTAGCAGACTACCCCTCGAAGACGCGCGCCTTACAAAAGGTGGTTAATTTCGCCCCTAGGAAAAAAAACAAAATTCCATCACGTAAAGAGTTATGCGCGTTTACAAGATCTTTCCGTCGACACCAACTTGAAAACAATCGGAGCAAAACTGTAGAAGAATATAGGAAAAAATTGACAAATTTCCCGGTTAGTATAACACGCTCGGGGATGGCGCTCAGATGACGCCGACCCTAAAAAAATGGATTTTTTACTATAACTTTTTTAGTAATAAACGCAGAAAAGAGCTAACATATTAGAATCTAAAATTTCATCGAGTCGAAAGCCAAACACACATCACATTCATTTCATAATTCTTTAATATTTCTCAGATTCACTTTAAGGATATTGCGGGCTAGATTAACATGGAAAAGAATCATTGCTAATCGGTTAGCATGGAAGCAGACCGTAGCCCATCTAGATCCAGCTGATTCACACTTGCATCTATTTGAATATTGAACAGTTTCATCATTACACGCTATTGGTCTTTCGACATTACCCTCAGTAACATGTGAAATTACGGCTCCCACTCCATATTGAGAGGCATCCACCGTTAACCTGATGGGTAAGCTTGAATCAAAATGTATCAGTACCTCCGCAGAAGTTAAAATGTCTTTAACCCTTTTAAATGCATCTTCACATGCGGCATTCCACTGAAAAATGACCCCCTTTTTTAATAAATCGTATAACGGTCTTAATACCGTTGCCGCACTCGGTATAAATTTATTATAATAGTTTATCATCCCGAGAAAACCCTGTAATTGCGTCACATTTATAGGACGTGGCGCTTCCTGAATAGCTTTAATATTTTTAGGACACGTATGCAACCCGTGTTTATCTATACGATATCCTAAATATTCAATACTCTCCTGAAAAAAACTACATTTGTCTTTTCGTACGGTTAAACCGCAATCTCCTAAACGCTTTAAAGTATCTTTTAATCTCCGAACATGTTCCTCTTTTGTAGACCCAGTGACTAGTACATCATCATAAAAACATACTACCCCATCTGTACTTTGCAAAACTCTCTCCATAATTTTTTGAAACTTTTTGGGAGCGGAACTGACTCCAAATGGCAACCTTGTATATTTAAATAATCCCTTATGGGTACTAATGGTTGTCAACATTTGAGATTCTGAATCTAACTCGATTTGAGAGTAGGCCTGCGAAAGATCAATTTTTGAAAATTGTTTACCATTACACAACTTAGCAAACAGTTCTTCTACTCGTGGTATAGGATAAGGTTCCTCTTGCAAAGATGGGTTGAGAGTGACTTTATAGTCACCACAAAGTCTAATGGATCCGTCTTTTTTCAAAATTGGAACTACGGGCGTTCCCCATTCGCTGTAATCTACTTTAACCAAAACTCCTATATCGACTAACCTCGCAATTTCTTTTTCTACTTTTTCCCGCATTGCGAAAGGTAAAACTCTAGCCTTCTGAAATTTTGGAATGGCAGCCTCTTTTAAATTCAATTTTATTTTGCCTTTAGTAAATTTACCTAATGTGTTTGCAAACACCTTCTCACATTCCCTAAAAATTTCCATTTCTAAACCTTCCATTCTTATGCTGTTTATACACAATTCATACTTATAGAAAAAATCCCTGCCTAATAAAGGAGGCCCTCCGTCCCTTAAGACGAACAATTTAACATCCTTCATTACACCCTTATATTCAATTGGTACAACAATATAACCTAAAGGAATCATTTTCCCTCCCGTATAATTCTTAAAAACGGTATCAATTTCGAAAGTGAAGGACAAATTTGCAATTTTTACACTGACAAAAATAGGATTATTTTCCCCTTTAATACTATAAATACAATCGTCATTCAAATCGTCCTCAATAAAGAATTGTTTGCGCGATTTCGTAGAATTGCACATGGCCATTAAATGACCTTTCACCCCACATTTGTTACAGGTATAATAACGATAACGACACTTACTTTGACCGTGATTTTTACCACATACAGCACATTGAGCGTCCTGACCAACTTTCCCTTGTGGACCGCTGCTGCGCCCTCCTCTTCTGGACGCCGCACGGGATGCTCCTGCAGATCCAGCCTCTGCTCTCTGGTTACTGCTGCTGCTACTGCTCCCCTTACGCTTGTCGGTCGCCCATTGCTGAGAAGTTTTGTACACCTCCATGGGTTCTTGTTTAATTACCGTATTAGCACTTGCCTCATAGTTCTTTAATACTGCTTCCTTACTTAACGCGATATCAATTGCTTTATCTAACGTTAATGTACTCACGTCTTCCTCAAATAGACGATTCAAAATTGCTTTATCCTCCATGCCAACTATAAACTTATCACGCATCGCAACACTTAATTCAGATCCAAATTTACATTTGGACGCTAAGTTTTTTACCCTAGCCGCCCAGTCCATGATGGTTTCGTCCACGTTTCGATTTGCGTGATAAAACTTAAAACGTTCTGGAAACAACGCTTTTTGTGGTGCGAAATGTTTATCACACAATTCAATTAAAGCCTTGAAGTCCGTTGCATCGGGAGAATTTGGCACACACAGATTACTTATTAACTGATAACTCTCTTCGTTGCAGGCGTTTAACAATAACGCCCTTTTTATCTCTTGTTTGTCCACATTGTTTACAATGAAAAACTGAAACAGCCTCTCTTTGTAAATGGTCCAGTTACACTCTTTAGGGTTAAACTCCCTAATGTAGCCATTGTACGTAGATGCCGCCATAACTAAACACCTCACGCACTTTTTTGGGTACCCTAAGACCTTTTTACTTTGCTAATACGGTTTCTCGTCGCCAACTGTGATGTTCATTTATTCAAACCCAAACATACAATGTTATAATGAAACCATAATCCATGAGTGCAGTCTGGCGCGATAACTTACAATCATGCGTACATTACTACATTATGCAAATACCAGTTCAAGGATACAATAGAATACACGAAAACATTAGTATTGTCTATGTCAGTGGCGCCGCAAGGATACAATAGAATACACGAAAACATTAGTATTGTCTATGTCAGTGGCGCCGCCAGAAATGTTGCAATGGGTGGGCCAACCTGGGGCCGATATGTTTTAGATTGGGCCATTGTATATTTATTATACAACGGTTGGGCCATAACTTTCTAGACAAGTAGGCAACATCGAATCCTGTGTACCTCATAGTGTGTGTGAGTGTACTTTTGTTTTATTAGTATCGCAAAGATAGGAATTTGTCCAATACGCCAAAAAATATTAAAAAGTGGTAACAGTAAATACGCCATTTATTTCTAATCAAGCAATAGCGTATTATTAACGAGCTCGTAGCATGTTCATAATGTTTTCATTCTGTCCATCTGTCCGCCTGTCTGTCTGTCGGTTAGCACGATATTTTGAATACGAATAGACCGATTACAATGCAATTTTGCAGGTGGATTCTTTATCAAATTTGTAGATCGGAGCTCCTGAATTACCAATGCAGTCCAAAAAATCAGGAAGGCCCTTTTAATATCTCATACCCAGGAGCGAGTTTGCTATATTTCTCTAATTTAGTTAAAAGTAATTCTACTTATTGTAGGTAACTGATAACGGATGAGGAAATCAAGTGGGAACTTTTGCCCATCTTACTCTATACCAGCATATTATTCATAAACTGTGAATCTACAGGGTGAACTTCTTTCCATTATTCCTATGTAAACAAAAATTCCAAAGGTGACTCCACAGAAACAGCATTTTTGATCGCATAGTATTTGCACAAAACTGTTATCGTGGCTTGACCACCCCTGGGTCGTAAGCAGTATACGAGATGTCCACCGAATCGTAAACAAAGCAAAACAACGATTTGTTGCTTCTACTAAAAATTGGATTACTGTACGTTCTATTAAGGAGAAGGTAGCTGCCTAGTAACTTAAGATAACACAGATAACCTGCTTAATCGCAAATATTGTGCACAAGTGAATCACCGGTAGTTCGGTAAGCTCTGCAAGTATGAGGTCATATCTGACAGCTATAATGACGTAAACGGATATGGTATTGTTGATTTTTAAGTATTAATAAAAACAACAAAGTATGACAAAAAAATTTTTAAAGAAGATAAGTATGAATGCACACGCTTCTAGTGATTCTTAGATAATAAAAATAAACAACTTGTAACTTGTTCATGAATCTGTCTGTCTGTTAAAATTCAGTTTGCTGCCACCATGCGAAAGGATGAAATAAAAAGGCCCATTAGTAATCTGGTTAGTGACCTCAACACTCATTCGGAAAGATTCATCAAATTCCTTGTAATAGTAGTCTCACCCTCAATTTTGTTTTTGAGCAATTAGTGACATGTGACAATAAACCAAGAACGTTAAACGTCCTTGCAATAAACAGTATGGCGAACTTTAATCTACTGCAAAATTGTAACATCCTTGAAATAAGTGGTCAAAATTGGACCTACAAACATATTACACAATTGCATGACTAATAACTGAAGGGAACACTGCAAGCCTACTAACAATATTGATAAACAGCGATAAATAATTACTCAAATTGCCAGGGTGCCTGCTCTTGCAAGCAGACAAAGTTGTTAAAGTGCAACTTCAATTAACTGTTTAAAAAATAAAATACCTAACCAAACGTTGCTGCCCAATTTAGTTTTAATTATAGTGCTCTTCTCTACCTGTGGGAGTTTACATTGTCTTCTGTCAATCAATTTGCATACACGGCAGACTAATCACAAAGTTTTCGTTTGACCATTATAATTCTAAGTTTATTTGTGTAGTGCTACAATCTTTGTTTGCTTTAGAAAATTTAATAAAAAATTGAAACATTTGTCATTACTCGAGATTTCCTAATAGATAACGACCGCGGCAGGTTGCTTGTCTGTGTAGATATTCGAAAAATGAAAAAAAGATAAGTAGATCAAAGTCTACCTGTATGATTCATGTCCTTAATATTTACATGGAAACATTGCAGAATTGCCAGAGTATCCTTACGCGTCATCGCATTTATTTGCGACAGCCTATAAAAAAGGCTATAACTTAGGAGCCGATAAGGGAGTGTAGAAGATTTTACAGTAATGAAGGAATAAGGTAAGCTTACGCCAAGGCCAAATATATGTGATAAAACGTTAAAAGAAAGATTTGAGAGGAACTTGAGGAGAATTTGGCGGGAATTTAGTGGGAAATTTAACATTTTAACGATACATGAGGTTGAACTTGAGGAAAATTTAAACTTAAAAAATGAATAAAATAAAAGTGAGAGGGATAATGAACTTGAAAGAAAATGTATGTGTACTTCGGAGTAATTTAATATGAACTTGAACCTAATGCGCTAAGAGGAAAGAGTCAATGAAAGGAAAATATGAGAGCTTTAAGAGAACTGGAGGTGGAAGGAAGATAAGATTTGCTTGAAAATTCACATGACACGAATTTATTATAAACTTGAAAGAAACTTGAGTGAACACGCAGGGATTTTGAGAACTTGAGAAGGATTTAAAAGGATAGGAAAAGATAAGAAAACGCTCGAAAGGAACTTGACGAAATCTTGAGATTCAGGTATAATAAAAAATGCGCGTTTACTCATTTCCAGAGAACTTTTGAAAAGAGATTCCCCTTCTGTGCTCAAATCTGCGAGTTCTGTGCGTCCAAAAATCAGTACGAAATCCCCCCCTCCCTCCCACCTGTCGACAAACACTAATGGCCGTTTGCACCAACAAATTTAAGAGGAGCTTAGCTTAAGAGTAGCGACTTTTGTCTTAATAACCATGAATTTTAAGCTACGCTTGTTGAATGTAAATTCCATGTACAATACAAACGTTTACCTTTAAGTTCCTGTACTTATTGCTATGGTCCTACTTGACTTTCTGACAAAAATGTTATATTAAGTGACAAACGCAGTCGATCGTATTATCGTCTACGTTTATTTCTTCCCGATGTCTACAAAAAAGGAAAAGGAAAAGGTCAACGTGTTTCATTCCTCCGACACCCCGAGGGATACCGGAGGCGGGCCCCTCAGGGTTTCCTGACCCTCTTCAGCCAGAGAACGGGAATGTAAGGATGGGTAAAGTTAAGGATGGGAACGGAAGGAACGGAGTTAGGGTGCCGAGAGGGAAGAGTACTGCTCCAGCATTCGCCTAGTAGATTTCAATATAATGCTAGCACGCACGTACACGCTACGTACGTCTGAGGAAAACCCTCATACGAAACGCCTGACAGAGCAGTCGGCAGCGGGAATCGAACCCACAACCTCCCGAATAGCATGTCTACAAAATAAAATAATATCATATTGTCTTTGAGAAATTTTAATCTAAACAAGTTGCCAAATGAAGGTGTCATTTTCACAAAGGGAACTATATGTATACTTAATTTAAGTTACATCTACATTATAATTGTGTGGATAGGAAAGAAGTTGCTTCGTTGTAGTAAGTAAAGACCATTGCATTGTTTCCCATCGGAAAAATGAATGAATCAATGTGCAGGCCTTGTTACGCATTTTCGAAAATGTCCAAGATTGGCATAATTCCTCACAATAATCACTATCACACACAGAATCATGGGAGCTCGAATACCTAGGATGATAATATTAATCAAACCGTTCTATTTGTAGAAATTAGATGATTTTGAAATAGAATAGTAGAATTAATAGACTCCATTTGTATGGAATGCAAAGTAGCTGAACTAAATTAATAGTTGTTTGGGAATGTATTTATATCGAAACGGCAATTACATTCTTTTCGGAATCTTTTTTAATGCACAAAGTTCATGTTAAAAGAATTACATGTGTAAAATGTGCAGTTTTATTTACTGCATCATTTGGTAGACTTTACCCAAATTGATGTGGTACCTAGTGTAGTACAGTTTACTATTTCTCGTGTTGATTTTTACACGAAACTTTTTATAGTGTACGTAACCTGAAGCGTTACAAGTGCCATTATACTTACCTAACTTTACATTTTCCTTAATTTTTTAGAAATCGCGGAAGCTATATCTTTAAAATCAATTTTATTATATCATTCCATAACCTGTAACGCTAAGTTTGTGTGGCGCTGGTGTTTCTACAAACCCCATGTTATATAAAGGTGATGCCTCGGTTAGCGGCTTGGTAAACTACACAAAACTATGATGTCGATTGTCCATCCTCCGTTACTTAATTTTTATCCATGGATATCCACATAACATCGATGCAAGTACTGCTAGTATCGACGCCATCATAACTTGCCCTTGGAGGTGACAAGCGGCAGAATACCGGAGATAAGAACTGGGAAACCCCCAACGAAGAAAACAGACGAATTTCAACAAAAAAAAGGGGGAAAAGAAAAACCCTCAATGACAAAAGAGAGTTTCCTTTTAGTTAAATAACGACAGGCCCTTGATCAACAACTATCTAATATGACTCGTCTCGTGTGATCTGCAGATCGGGTGTCTTATGTCAAAAACAATTAACAAATCCCTTAGCGGTTTATGGGTTTTAAACGAATTCCCAAATCAACAGTAGTTCATGGACTCGGATATCCGAAAAAATAACAATGACAGATCTAGAGTGGAAATGCAAAATGGTCCATGTGCGAAAAAGTAACTTCTGAGAAAATTGAGAAAACGTTTATTTATAAACTCAGCAGTTATACAATAGGGATCTTCAACACTTAACATGAGTCACTATATGTAACTAACACAATACAAGGAAAAAAAGATCAAAACACAACTTTAAGGCATAAAAAGTAAAATCATATAAAAAAAACTCTGGAACGTTCTAAGTCAATT